ACTCTCAAATCTTCATCGTGAGATCGACGCATCTTTTCAATATTTGCAATTGAGTCCTTGAACTTCTGTTTTCCTCCATTTTGGTCATTTTCGCTCGTTTTCGCATACATTTCATTTCATTTCATCCATCAATGTAGTCCTACAAACACCATTTCTATAGAACTAAGCCATATTCAAGCATTTATGTCAACAATCAATCATATTTTGTGTTATAATTAAGTGTGCAAAACGTACTTATCATAAACAAATAATAATAATTCCATTTTCACCTCGAAATAATTAGTGTAATTTTTTTATTTTCATTATTTTTGTTCTTTCCAATTCGTATCGAGATTTTTGATTCTCTCAACTCAACTCAAGATTCTTGATCATGGTGTACTTCAATAATTGAATTGTTAATCGAAATTGTCCAGATTCTTAAGATTCATCATTTTTCATCAATACGTTACTAGTATGTCATAAAATTGTGAAACGAATGGTGAATAAGTGAATATTACTTGTAAATTTCATGATATGTATGGTGAAAGTGAATTGGCTAATTATAAATCGCTTATAAACATTATCCAAACATGACAAAGCATAACAAATTAAATGGAGAGTATTAGTGTCACTTTTATTATTTTGAAATTTTGAATTTTCTTCAATGTTAATGGAAGGCATCTGTCATTCATTTAACTTTACACCATGCTACATGAACATTAAGATTGATATAAAATTTGGCATAATGTCACGTGACATTTTATTATTGAATAGTTTAAAATACAGTTAGCTTTTACATCCAATATTCTACTGTCACATGCAATTATTTGACAAAGTAGCTTCATTCTTAATTTTTTGATAACATTTGTACTTCCGCTTCTTAACTCTCGCATCATTATTTGACTTACTACTAATCTTTGTGGAAATTCGAATTTAAAAATGTTTAATGTCAAATGTTTCATTGTGCAAATATTTTAACCTAATTTGGTCTCTATGAGAAATACTAAGCTAAAGTCTTAAGAGTTAGGTGACAATATTCAAAGCCAAGACTATGAAACATATTCCGAATTGATTTTTTTAACGTTTTCTACCATATATTGAGGATTAAATATTTCAAACTTTACTGAACTTTTCTAAAGAATTTTTAGTTATTGAACTTCAAAAAATTATCAAATTTTCACTGAATGTATTCAAAATGTTACTTAGTTGTCATAGAGCTTTAAAATAATTCCAAGTGTCATTAAACATATCAAAATGTTAGCTCATGTGACGCTCGTCGTTTTAAAAGTTAACAGACTTCAAGATTAACGTGCGGAATTTTCACATGTGGCATGCTTTCGACATTAGTATGTGCCACCACATCACCAAAATCACGAGTGGCATGCACTTTTAAAATGGTAAGTGAGGGATAAGATAACAGTTTGATAAGTAATTTTATAGCAATTTGAAAAACTTTTGAAGTTTAATACCAACGGAATGACATTTAAGAAAATTCAGTGACAAATAGAATATTTAACTCTCATGTTGATAACCTTATTTTCAACATTAAAAAAAAAATCGGTAACTGAATACATCCTTCTGAATTATTAATTAATGAGGAGTTGTAGAGTCTAGAGAGTGAAATCAAGAAAATAAAAAAATAAAAAATAGTTAGACGAGATTGATGAAAGACGAAAGGAAGTTCCTTTTTCTTTTTTTCCTTTTTTGGTATAATTAGTGCAAGCATTTATGTTGACCGTTCACTCTTTTACATTTATTCTTAGTTCAAGCCTGTCTGCACAAAGAATATTTCTTTTCATGTGCATATGACTTACAAACTTGCTAAGAAAGAGCTAGTGGTAGTTATTGTCAAGGATCGAATCCCACCTCGAAGAAAGATGAAAACATAGACCATTTGTAAATATTGGGTTACTCCTCTTAATAATGTTAACATTTTAAAATGGAACACAAAATCTTAAAATTGTACCAGGGCTCATTAAACTCCAACAAGCAATTCGATCCAATTAAAACTCAAAAAAATGAGCACGCGGATTTCAAGAATGGTCTGCTTAAACGAGCCACCATCTTGCGGAGGCATATTAAGCGATAGAAACCCACATCGAATAAAGATGAAAACATAAACCAATTTATAAAGGATTGGATTACTCCTCATAATAAGATTAACATTTTAAGATGGAATCTCAAATATTAACAGTTATATCAATGGACTGAGACCTATATCAACGCACGTTGTTTGTAACTAGTAGTTACACAAGGTACAAACTTTGAGCTTTGCTTTTTAATTGTGAAATGGCCTTCTAATTTTTCATTTGTACAAGTTTATATGTACTGATGATAATATGTTGTTGGTTGGTCATTCAAGGGATTGATTTATTTATTTAAATATTATTTTCTCGTTAAAATTGTCACTATAATAAACTTCCAAATTATTTTGAATGACGTAAAAGAAAACTATAAAGTCCAAATATCCCTTGGCGTTGATAGAAAAGTAGCCCTCTTATTGCATGTCCACATCGTTTGAATTCCAAACTTTGAACCTTCAAATTTCCACGTTTTTGAAATATAGACCTTCAAATATATATATAAAAGTAGAAAAGAAATCGAGTAAAAAATTATTAACGATAAAATAAGTTGATCACTAACACATCTAAGTTTGATATTATCCCGAATTTCCCCTGAAATTCACAAATTGAGCATGTTAGGAGCAAACAAGAAGTCCCACATCGGTTGGGAGAAGAAAAGAAATCCACCATATAACCCAAGAGGGTTACTCCACCCATTACCAATTGGTTTTGGGTTGGAGCCAGACTTNCGCACATCGGTTGTGGGAAGAAAATAAATCCACCATCTAACCCTAGTGGGCTAACCCACCCATTACCAATTGGTTTTGGGATGGAACCTCACTTGTTCCTGGTGGTGTGGGCTTGGGCCTTGGGTAATTGCTCTCAATAATTCCCTACAGAGCATTAACAAGTACAATTTAGTAAAAAAAAAAAAAAATTGTTTACGAACAAGTTAATACATTTATTAATACTCATTAAAAATGATATCTGGACTTGGGAAAAAAAATATAGAGGGTTTATCAAGAATAGAATTGTAACTGCATTGAATTTGTTCATTTCTCTTTATTTTTTTATTTTTCTCTTTTTATAGTTATTTGATTTTCATATTTTATTTTTAGACATGACGTGGTTTACATCGATAGGTTTCTACCTTGTACTATATACATACGTCTTCATTATGCCATCAATTTTATCATTATTCTTCTTGATAAAACAATAAACTTTCTTGTTATTTAAATTGACAAATTACAACTTTGTTTCATTTGATTAAAAAAAATTAAAAACGTTTGTAAGTTTCCAGAAAACAAATCCTATAAATTATTACATATTCTTAAATCAAGGACTACTATTGTTGTTTAATTTTTTTCATGGATTGTGCTTGTTAGTTTTTTTGACACTAAAAACCACCAAAAGTCGATATAGTGTAATTTTAGCCGTATTTCTCAATCTACTAAATATATGGAGTTTGGTTGTTTCTCATATTGTCTTCCAATTTTTAAAACCTATAAAATTATTATTTTCAACCCGCATATTTGTTGAAAACTAACTTGTAAATAAGAATACCATAACTAAAAAAATTAATTTATAAGCAACAATATAACTTTATAACTAAAAAAATTATTTATAAGTAAAAAATAACTTATAAGATAAATTCATTTTTGTGTAAAAAAATTCTTATAAAGTAATAATATTATGAATAAGACAAAACTTAATTATAAAATATAATTATAAGTAAAAAATTACTTATGTATGAAATTATTTTAAAGTTCAAAAATAACTTATAACTGTAAAATTTCTTTATAAGTAAACAATTACTTATAACTTAAATTTTAATTATAAATAAATATTTCACGTTTTAAGTTTACAATTGACTTATACGTAAAAAAATTTAAATATTACTTGCGAGTTCGAAATTTCATCCAAAAAAATATAAATTGAAAATTTAAGGGACAATTATATAATTTTATTCTTTCAAAAAATTCACAAAATGGTTGGATTATTTTAAAAACCCACACTAAAAATCACCAAGATTAGACCCCATATGAACTCTCAAAACTTGTAATTTTAAAATCCCATAACCGGTGCCTCAAAACTCCCAAGCAAGCCCTTAATGTTAGCTATCTCTCTAACCTCGGATTTGTGAAGCCCCAATTTTGGTAGAGATTTATTTAGAATAAATTTGTAAAAAGTGAATTTTTAGTAGAAAAAATTATGTGTTCACATGCAAAATTATTTTATGGAAAAATGTGTTGTTGATAATGAATACAAAAAAAGGGGGTGGGGGGGTTAGAAAATGAGGACTAAGAGGTAAAAAATAACAAAACCTCAAAGAAAAGAAGAAGTTTTCTTGCTTTCATTCCCTATATAATGCCTTCTCATTGTCTGCAATTATTCACCCATTTTCACGATTAACAAAGAAAGAAACAATATGGCTGCAGTCGCCTCTGCCACCACCGTCATCCCTTATCCTGCAAAGGCAGTCCAAGAACTGGCCACAAACACCAATGCGACACCAGAAAAATATATCCTCAAAGAAAGCATTGGTAGAATCGACTCTGAGCTTCCATATCTTGATATTCCGGTTCTTGATCTTAGTCTTCTTGATTCTTCATCACCTGAAGCTGAAGAAGAACTCAAAAGACTAAGACTTGCTTTTAGCTCATGTGGTTACATACAGGTTAGTAAAGTTTCGTGTTGGTAACTAAACTTTGTGAATTAAATTTTGTAGCTGTTTGATCATATTTTCAAACTACGATGCTAACCACACTCTGCATGCATGGACAAAATTATCAAATTGAAATAAACTCTAAATTTTGGCGGTGGAGTCTGCAATCCCGGATTGGTGTTCATCGTTGTGGAATGTGGGCTCCATTGCCACCTAAACGGTCGTTAAACACAACCACAGATAGATAATGTTACTCTTTATTCATTATTTCAACATGGGATATCAATTTTTTAAATGTTTAATTGAAACAATTTTTTGGTATTTTAGGCAATAAATCATGGGATAGATCTTTCATTTATCGATGAAGTACATGATGTGACGAGGAAATTTTTCAAACTTCCAATGGAAGAGAAGAAGAAATATGCAAGAGATGCTGATGATATTGATGGATATGGAAACGACACTGTTTTCTCTGAGAACCAAACACTTGATTGGAATGACAGATTGTATCTCAACGTGAAGCCTGAAAACAAGAGGAAGATGAAAGTGTGGCCTGAAAACCCTAAAAATTTTAGGTAAATATGCCAAGAATATTATTCTATCAACAGTGACACTTTGATACACCATTTTTCAGGGAAAAAAAATGGTTTTTAATTTCTCCACTATTGTTAGATACACTCGACTAGACTCGACATATAATAATTTACAAATTCTATCAAGGCCACTTGTTGGCCTATCCCTTCTAATGTACCTAACATACTTTTCGGAGATTACAAATATACCCTCGTGATAATTATTTTCTTATATTATTTAAAGTATTTTTAATTATATTTTATATTTTTGTAGGCAAGTTTTGGTAGATCTTACAGACAAATTAGAGAAGGTTAATGAAATTCTCACCAAGGCCATGGCAAAATCACTGGGTTTGGAAGAGGACAGTTTCTTGAAACAGTATGGAGAGAATAAGGTCTCTCTTACAAGATTCAATTTATATCCTCCATGCCCTACACCTGAACTTGTCCTTTCAGCCAAAGCACATGGTGATCCATCTGGAATGACTTATCTCATACCAGATAAAGAAGTTGAAGGCCTTCAAGTCCTTAAAGATGATCAATGGTATAAAGTTCCGATTGTTCAAAACGCTATCAATGTTAATGTTGGCGACCAACTCGAGGTAAATAAGTCTCTCTATTTCTCTTATTGTAAACTATATAATTTCACATTAGCTTAAAAAAAATCCCTATCCCTCGTTAATCTTTTTATGAGGATTAAAAGATATGAATATTTAGAACACCTTGTTGCACCCAAAGAATTTCTCGCTCGACGTGTCATTCTTGTGACTCGAACTCAGGACTCTAGATCTGATATCACTTGTTAGTATCGGATTTCAACCATTTCATCTAAAAATCAATTTGAGTTAAATGAGGTCACCTAAATCTTTTATAGCATTTAATCGCCATTATTTGAGTGAGCCAATTTACGTATTTAAGAGCGGCATTATTGTAAACCAACAATTGTCCTTTTACTCTTTTTTTTCCAATGTTATCTAACCTGGTCAAACCAGCCATTCAACTGGAAAAACTGGAAATCGGTTCAGTCATAGGTTAAAAAGAAAAATAAAAATCCATTCAAACAACCCTAAGAACCGACAATTTCATGTCAAAATTGTGGTTTCCTTTTATTCTTTTTACCTCTAATTCGACCATGGTTTAATCCTTTAACGATGGCTGCAGATAATGACTAATGGTATTTTCAAGAGCCCGATTCATAGGGTCGCGACAAATCGAGAAAGAGAGAGGATGACAATTGCTATTTTCTTCACTCCTGACCCAACCAGCGAAATTAAACCAACTGAAGGGCTTATTGATGAGAAAAATCCCAAATTATACAAAAGTATTGTAGACTACACGGGTAACTATTTCGAGTTATTTCAGAAAGGGCAGAGGCTCGTTAATGCTCTCAAAATATGATGTTTGCCTGTTTTTATCTACTCCAAAAAGCAATTTAAGGTAAGATTTATATTCATCTTTCGTGTTTTATCTATTGCATTTGCACGAATATTATGTAATATTGCACCAATCTTGTCTTATGATGGTTAAAAATCATCATAGGAAATATTTTACTACAGTTAGTCGAGATTAATGATTTATTATATTGTGCAGGTTTAAATCTGAGATGCAGAAGCTAAAATTTTTTAGTGGGATTGAGCAGCAGGATGCATATTTATTATAATAGATAGAGAATTTGAAAGCTATGCAATAATAAACTTCAGATAATATTACTACTTGATATGTATTTGGTGTTGGTGTGTGTGTTCTGTAGCATGTAAGATTTTAGCATCTGATAATAAAGAGCATATTATTAATAATTTATTGTCTGTTTAATTTTTGATTAATTTTAAGATGGATAAGTTGCATGCTTCGTCCTCACTCTGTATCGCGGCCCATATTGCTTTTATCTCTAACGGTTTTTTCTTAGCATTAAGCTCGCTTACATTACATGATGTAAAGAACGGCAAGCAAAGACTATCGACTTGTTCATAATCCACATTAAACATGTCGTAAAAATATTTAAACCCAAATATGTGGAAGTAATCAATAACAAGCAACAAGTTACTTAATTATTGTTTTTAGATCTTAATCGAATTAAACTCTAATCAAACAATAACATAAATGTATAGATTAAAAGCAATAAAAGAAATAACACTAGATATGATCACGGAGGAAAACCCTTTCTCAGGATAAAAAACCTCCAGACAAACTTACCAGTAAAATCCACTAGAAAAGTTGACTTAAAATTAATCCAGATACAGCTAAACTTTAGCTGACTCTAGTCACCTAGCTTATAAATCACCAAGGAACTCATTTAGCTCTGTGACTCGTACTTTTCAACAAATTTGAGCTACTTTTCCCTCCATGTGGATGATCGAGAACAAACTCCTTCTAGAGCACTGGAACTCCAAGCACTTCTTCTCCAACTTCAGAACTCTGAAGGTTTAGAGGTGAAGGTAGAATTTTATTTTATTTTTTATTTTTTTGGTGTTTGATCTTTAGATTTTTCTGTATTTTGATCTATGGATGAGGAAAGAGAATATTGGAATATGTAATAGATCTTCAAATAATGTCATCTTGACTAAACTTAAGACTCAACCAATAATGAAATAATGTTAAAATCGCAAACAAAACTTTGCTCAGAAAAGTAGACTACTCAAGTACCTTCCTCGTGGCTTGGGAGGGGTCTCTGAGCAGCCATCAATACTTTCATCATATCTTTCTCTCTCAATATCGGATTGAGTCGATTCAAAGTTCATTGAAAAACTAATTCAAATGGCTACAATTATTTTAAAACTAGCAATTTTCAAATTCGAATGTTTTTTATATGAAAAATGTGTCGTAGCTTCTGACTAAGAATTTGGAGTTCGGCACTTTGACGCTCATTTGACTTCTAGTTACATCACATTGATCATATGTGATCTTCTT